CAAGAAACAGGGAATTACTGTGTAATTGGTATGAAGTTTCAGTTTTGCAAGATGAAAAAGGTTCTAGAGATGGATGGTGGCAATGACTGTACAACAATGTGAACTTACTTGAACTGTTTACTTAATCATTCTTTTTTTTAAAAATATTTATTGTTTAGTTATTGGCAGACACAACATCTTCGTTTGTATGTGGTACTGAGGATCGAACCCGGGCCGCTCATATGCCAGGCGAGCGTGCTACCGCTTGAGCTACATCCCCAGCCCTACTTAATCATTCTTATCAGCTCAATTCACAATAGCTAAGCTATGGAACCAACCTAGGTGCCCTTCAGCAGATAAATGAATAAAGAAAATGTGGTACACATATACAATGGAATATTACTCAGTCATAAAGTATGATATTAYGGCATTTGCCGGTAAATGGATGGAACTAGAGACAATCATGTTAAGTGAAATAAGCCAATCCCMAAAACCAAAGGCCAAATGTTCTCTTTGATATGCAGATGCTAACTCTCAACAGGTGAGGAGGTTCACTGGATTGGACAGGGGKGGTGTAGGGAGAAGGGATGGGGAATGGGAAAGGGAAAGGGAAAGATAGTAGAATGAATTGAACATTACATTCCTATGTTCATACATGAATACACAACCATTGTAAATCCATATCATGTATAACCACAAAAATGTGAAGTTGTACTTTATGTATATATGATATATCAAAATACATTCTACTGTCATGTATAACTAAAAAGAATAAAAAATTAATAAAAATAAATCATGCTTAAAATTCTAAATTTTATGTTACATATAGTTTACAATAGAAAGTATAATTCTGGTTGATAATATRGCATTCTAAGCTTTCTCCTTTACATATATAAGCAGGATATAGAGCATTTTCAATGAAAGCATGTTTTGCAACAGAATAATATAGATATTATTCTCTATAGGTAATATTCCTCTGGTGTGACAAAAATAGAAGAATGGGGAGAGGAGGAGCCAGAAAATTGATTCCACAAGTGACAAATGCTAATACTTACCATGAAATCAGCTGTCTGTGAAGATGGAGTACTTGTTAACAGGCCTCTGCTTTTCTTATCAGGAGTACTTGAATTTGTTTTCTATAAATRTTTATAAAATAGGGGATTGAATAGTAAAAAAAACCAAACCATTTTAGTATAGTAAAATCAAAATTTAAAGTTAGTAGACTAGATCATAATGTGTAATACCAATAAAATCTTTAATTTGCTAATTAAATTTTAAGCCATTTGAAGGAAACAAAAGAATTTCCTGGCTTGAGCTAGGTTGTTCACTTTCCAAGAGAACTCTATATGGCATGACAACCATATGGGAATACTTTAGTTGGAATTACTATTAATTTAGGAAGAGAAGCTAATTAGAGTGGTGAACTAGTAAACAGTGCTTTGGTTACCTTTGTTAACTGCTGAAAAAGTATTTCACTTTCAGTGAAATTTGTTTAATTTCTAGTATATTATTATATTTTTTGTGAAAAAATATTATAAATTATTCCTGAAACTGTTATAAAACATTTAAGTAGTAGCAAAGATAATTGGTTTAAAATATATGTTTAAATGTAAATAGATTTTTTTCTTTCATTGATAGAACATCAAAGTTAAAAAAATTATAAAATAATATGCAGATTCATTTTCTATTTCTTAAAGACGAAAAGGCAGACAGGTGAACCAAGTAAAAAAGTCTAAAAGAGCAAGGAAAGAAAGGAAGACATTAAGATTCAAGAGCTAAAGAGAGTGAGAAGAGGAGGGAGGACCTGAGAATAAGAGAGGGAGGAGAAGAGGGAAGTGTTGAGAGGGAAGGAAGAGAGGAAAGAAGGAGGAAATGGAAAAGACAGAAAGATTGAAAGAAAGAACGAGGGAAAGGGAAGAGACAGACACCAACAGTCTGGGATCAGAAAGAGATGAAGAGACAGCCCCARGAGGAGGGCAGCAGGGAGAATACCTAGACTATGGATAGGAAGGAGAGAGGGAGCTCGAAGCTGAAAGAGAACACAGGACATCAGACACAAAGAAGCAAGCATGAAGGCAAAGCTGAAACAGGAAGTTTTATTTCTAGCAATCAACTGCTTTTCCAACCCTCGAGTTCCAAGAAACAATCAAGTCCTGATAAATCTCACTTCTGGGGTTCGTGACWATTATTTGATGCCAAGTCTGGAACCCAAACTCAGAGATAAAACTTGAAAATCTTAAGATTTTGTGATAGGTTTCTCTTTCCTTATCTTTTCTATCACTCTTCTGTCTTAAAATCTCTTAAACTAGTTGTCAGTTCCAAACATAACCAAGAATAGAATATAGGGAAAGTTTTTATGAAAAAAAATTTAACAGTATATTTACCTGGAGAATATGCCAGCTTTCTAATTTAGCAGCTATGTAATATTTAATTTCTTCATCTAAACAATGAAATTACTCTGAGATTTGTGAACAAGTATCATAAATAATATATGTAAAGAGAACTTGTGGGGTTTAGAGTAAGAGAGACTCAGTGATAGCTATCATCATCATTGCAGCAAACTTGGAGGTGCTTTGCTCAGATCTCCTTGAACAAAGAACCTGCTGTTACAATGCAAGAAGTGCATTTGGCTGATATCCTCCAACTGCAATATCTTAGGATCTATTTCACTTGCAAGCTGAGGCCCCCATTTTCTCTGGCCATCTCCAGCCAGTGTCTAGCAGCCAATACATACTTTTGTAATGCAAAATCTTTGCTCCAGAATTCTTCATTGGGAGAGCTTTTATCACATTTGCATTGAGGACAAAGGCTATCACTGCCCAATCCTGATTCCTCCTGCTTTTTTTCCTTAGGTATTACCCTCTCCAATAAGTCACTTGAATGCTTAATTCTGTCTCAGTATCAGTTTCCCATTGGTCCCTATGACACAACTGTCAACTGTCAGTTCAATCTCAAAAATATCAGCCTGTATATAGATGTAACTATACAGCTTCCTTATATTTCTCCCTCAGTTTGTTTTAAAACTATGCATTTCTAAATCTTCACAATCAAATTTTTCTCTTTTAGTCTTCTTAACAATTGTGAATTAATAAAACATTAGTAAACTCAACTCAAAGTGAATCTAGGACCTAAGCATTAGATCAGAGACCCTGCACCCAACAGAAKAAAATGTAGGCCCAAATCTACATCATGTTGGCTTAGGAATTGACCTCCTTAAAAGGTTCCTAAAGCACGGAGTAAAATCAAGAATGAACAAAGGGGATAAAATCAAACTAAAAAGCTTCTTCATAGCAAAGGAAACAATCAAGTATGTGAAGAGAGGACTGGGGTTGTGGCTCAGTGATGGAGCTCTTGCCTGACACATGTGAGGCACTGGATTTGACCCTCAGCACCACATGGAGACAAATAAGTAGAATAAAGGTATTTTGTCCATCTACAATTAAAAAAAAAAAGGTTGTAAAGAGAGACCCTACAGAATGAGAGAAAAATCTTTGCCTCCTGCACCTCAGATACAGCATTAATCTCCAAGAACTCAAAAAACTTAACACCAAAAAACAAATAACCCAATCAATAAATAGGCTAAGGAACTGAACAGACACTTCACAGAAAAATAAATATGATCCATCAACAAATATATGAAAAAATGTTCAACATCTCTAGCAATTAGAGAAATACAAATTAAAACTATACTGAGATTTCATCTCACTCCAATCAGAATGGCAATGATCAAGAATACAAGTAACTCGGCTGGGATTGTGGCTCAGTGGTAGAGTGCTCGCCTAACACATGTGGGGCACTGGGTTCGATCCTCAGCACCACATAAAARTGAAATAAGAATATTGTGTCYACCACCTACAATTAAAAACTAAATATTAAAAAAAAGAATACAAATAACAAATGTTGATGAGGATGTGGGAAAAAGGATTCACTCATACACTGCTAGTGGCACTGCAAATTGGTGCAACCACTATGGAAAGCAGTATTGAGATTCCTCAGAAAACTTGGAATAGAACCACCATTTGACCCATTTACCCCATTCCTCAATTTATACCCCAAAATCAGCATACTAAAATGATGCTGCCACATCAATGTTTATAGCAGCTCAATTCACAATATATAAATATGGAACYAACCTAGGTGCCCCTTCAAAAGATGAATGAATAAAGAAAATGTGGTATATATACACAATGGAATATTAAATAATATTAAAGAGGAATGAAATTATGGTATTTGTGGTAAATGGATGGAACTAGAGACCATCATGCTAAGTCAAATAAGCCAATCTCAAAAAACCAAAGGCCTAATGTTCTCTGATATATGGATGCTAACTCACAATAAGGTTGGGGGGAGGGAAGAATAGAAATACTTTGGATTAGACAAAGGRTAATGAAAGGAAGGGAGGAGGAATGGGAATAGGAAAGATAGTAAAAGGTATCAGACGTCACTTTCCTATGTTCATATATGAAGACATGACCAATGTAATYCCATATCGTACAACCAAAAGAATGGGAAGTTTTACTTCATATATGTATGTCAAAATATATTCTACTGTCATGTATAACTAAAAAGAACAAATTTTTAAAAAATACTAGTGCTTACCAGCATGGGCTCCAGGGGCTTCGGCAGCAGAACTCTAGTAACTGATCTACTTTCACTGCTTTCAGGAACAGACCTATGGTGGGATAATGGAACCTTGTTTTTTAGATGATGAGCGTTTAATTTTGTTTGAATATTTTTATCTCTATCTTCAGAATCGTTTTCASCCTGAAACAAATTCATAATTATGAAATACATTTCACAGAGCTCTAAAAACGTTTCTAGTACCTCTAAGGTGTCCTATTATTCCTTCAAATTGAAAAATAAARATTTAAACTTAAAGACTGTTTTAGTTAGTTTTTTAGCCACTATGACTAAAAGACTGGGTAAAAACCATTTCAGAGGAGAAAAAGTTTATTTGGCACTAAAGGTTTCAGAGGCCTCAATTATAGTCAGCTGACTCCATTGCTTTGGGCATGAGGGAAGGAAGAACATCACAATGGCAGGGAGCAGAGGAGGAAAGCAGCTTAAGACATGGCAATCATGTCACTCAATCAGAGCACTCTGCTTATCAGGGACAAAAATATAATTCCAAAGTCATGCCCTCAGTGACCTACCTCCTACATCCATACCCTACCTGCCTCCAATTACCACTAGTTAATTCATATCAATGGTTTGATCCATTGATTAGGTTACAACTCTCACAATCCAAACATTCCGCCTCTGAACAATCCTTGGATTGTCTCATACATGAGCTTTTGGGGGACACCTCATACCTAATCCATAAGAAAGACAAATGATTTTCCAGGAAAAATGATTTATTCTATATATTTGAGTAAAAAAAATAATTTGAAATACTCAGCTCTAAAAATTTCCCTACCATTTTAAGATAACATTTCCCAATAGTGTTATATGGAAATAAAACAAATGATATTGAGATCTGTTTATTCATATTTAAAATTAAACTTTGGTGAAAATACTAAATGTATTTTATTAYATAAAACTCAGCATTTAAGAAAACAAAAGTCCACTTAATGTCAGAAAACTCAACTATAACAAAGTATGTTGTTTTGTTAACTCATACCTGCACTGAAAACTGGAGACTGTTCAATGACTGCTCATCCTTTGAAACTTGTCTTTTGTTTTCAAGATATATTTTTAATATTATTCAAAATTTAGGGGGCATTTAGTGAAGTATTCAATGGCTTCAACTAACTTCTTAAAGATTTCACAACTTGAAAACAGATTTTTTTTCTCTCATTTCTGCCATTGTTCCAAGCAACTCCATCCACTAAGTATGAAACATATCCAATTGGCCTCTCAATTCCTTGACTTCTTTACTTCAAATAACCTATTCCCCTCATGCCACTTCAGTCACTTTATGATCAAACCTTAATCCTTACCTTCAACAGATACTAAAGAATCACAAATTCAAATAACTTCCTATATACTTCCAATCCTGTTCAAGTGTCTTTATGGAACATTTACCCCTCATTAAAATCTCCAACTCACTGATCTTATTATTCAGTCTGCACCCATTGGCCTTCTCTCGTCTTCTTTCCTGACGAGCTACCACTATCTATCATTATAATTATATGTT